CACACAACACACAAAAAATAAATTTGAGACAGATCATAGATTTAACTATAGAAGTTAAGCCACAAAGCTTATAGGAAAAAAAAAAAAAGAATTTCTTCATGATTGAGAGTGTAGGCAAAGGTTTCTAAGAGAGTGTACATAAAATAAACTAGAACTTGGGGGAAAATCAGCCAAGAAAATCTGAAAAACTATTTCGAACTAAAGTAAACTAAAGAGACATAAACACCAAATTCAATGTGTACACACATATTTGATTCTGTGCCAGGAAAGAAAATGACTATGAAGGAACATTTGGAACCACTTGGCAGAGCGTGAACAGTTTATAATTTAGATAATCGTGTATTGATAAGTTGTATCAGGCCAGGCCCAGTGGCTCACACCTGTAATCCCAGCACTTTGAGAGGCGAAGGCAGGTGGACTACTTGAGGTCAAAAGTTCGAGACCAGCCTGGCCAACATAGCAAAACCCCATCTCTACTAAAAATACAAAAATTAGCCAGCTGTGATGGCATGCATTTTTATTCCCAGCTACTCAAGAGGCTGAGGCAGGAGAATTGCTTGAACCCAGGAGGCGGAGATTGCAGTGAGCTGAGATCGTGCCACTGCGCTCCAGCCTGGGTGAGAGAGAGGGACTCCATCTAAAATAAAATAGTATCAATTGGATAGAAAATACATTTCCTGATTTTGATAATAAAAAAGAAAATTCCAAAGAATAAACAATAACAAAAGACCCAGTAACTAATAAACATTTATGGCAGTGTTGCAAAATAGAAAGTTAAGTTGTAAAAGTCAATTTTTTCTTATATCCCAGGAATGAAAAATTATAATTTGAAATAAAAAATACAATGCCCTTTATATTAGCACCAAAAATGAAATACTTAGGTATAGATATAGAAAAATACCTACAAATTCTCTCTGAGGTAACTACAAAACATTGATGGAAGAAACAAGATCTAAACAAATGGAAAAATATTCCATTTTTTGAATTATAACATATCATGAAGATGTCAGTACATCTCAACTTGATCTATAGACTCAATGCACTCCCAATCAAAATCCCTGCAAGTTATTTTGTGGATGTTGGCAAACTGATTATAAAGTTTATGTGAAGAGCAAAAAGACCCAGAATAGCCAACGCAATAGTCAAGAAGAAGGACAAGGTCAGAGGACTGACACTACCCAACTTTAAGACCTAATATAAAGCTTAAGTAATTAAGAAGGTTTGATATCAGTGAAAAACAGACAAATAGATGCAACAAAAGACAGAGCCCAGAAATAGACCCACACAAATTTGGTCAACTAATCTTTGACAAAGGAGGAAAGGTAATTTAATGGGGAAAGGATAGTCGTTTGAACAAATAGTGCTAGAACTGGATATCCACATGCAAAAAATATATATATATTAGACAAATACTTTACCCCTTTCACAGATATTAACCTAAATTTAAAATGCAAAACTGTGAAATTTCTAGAAGATAACATAATAGAAGATCTAGATGACTTTGGGTTTGTCAATCAATGACTTTTTAGATACAACAAAAGCATGATCCATGAAAGAAAAAATTTATGGTTGGGTTTCATTAAAGATTATACTCCCCTACAAAATAAACTGTTATGAGATTGAAAAAGTGAAGCCACAGAGAAAATATTTGCAGAACAGACATCTGATAAAAGACTGCTATCCAAAATATACAAATAATTCTTAACAATAAGAAAACAACCCATTTTAAAATTGGGCAAATGATGGGAACAGACACTTGGCCAAAAAAACATATTCAGATGGCAAATGAGCATATGAATACATACTAAACATCACATATCTGGGAAACTGCAAATTAAAATGACAGTAGAAAGTCCAAAGTTAAGCTAAATGGGCTAAAACAGATCCTTGTCCACAGTGATTGAGAGGGACAAAAGGAAGTAATGCGAGCTGCTGCACAGGCAAGGGATGTGCTAGTGTGCAAGTTCACGAGCATGCATGTAGGAGATGGGGTGGGGCTGGGGGCAGATGGGTAGGTATCATGAGTCAGTGCAGCTGCCTCTATGTCCTGGGCTTAATGCTTGTGAGTTATTTGTTTTGGAAATTTAGATCTTATAAGCAAGTCAGGGTTACACAGGTGCTGGTGGAGGCACTGAGAAGTAAAACCATGGCTGTTGAAATCTGTTAGACTGGAACATATTTTAAGAGGAAATAAATAGCTCGTACCGGTTAGCCAGACATAGGTCAGCATCTTCTTTTACCTTTTTATTTACTCTTGACTTTAAAAATGACAAACTCTCCAGATTGGTTTCCTCATCTGGTATAAGGAGGTAGTAATCATACATTCTGGTAATAGTCTATAATTTCTTTAAACACAAAGAGGTTAGAACAGGGCCTTTCTCAGTTCAGTAAATGTCTAGCACAGTCCCTGTTTTCTAAAAGAATCAACAACAAATTGTCCAACACATTTCGAATTCTCACAGTAAAACCTATCAGGTTTTGGTAGAACCATTCCTCTGCTGGTAAATATCTTGATAGCAAGATCCCAGCACCTCAGGAATTACCACAGAAACTTGTGCTGGCATAGTTTTTGATATATCTGCAAACTTTCAGAGTAGGGAATTGAACAATAAACCTCAGGTGAGCATACGCACCACGAGAAAGGGGATTCATTTATCTTTGGTTTATACTGTATGCCCACTGCCTAGGAGAAAGCAGGAGCTCAATATATATTTGTTGAATAAATGAAACGTACCACTGACATTAAGAAAGGTGAAGAACAGCTCAGGAAAGCAAAGAGATTCACACAGACCAACAAATTCCAGCAGACCTCAGACTCTGTTTCCCCAAGCCTGGAATTCATTTATGAAAGTATGCTGTGGAACAGAGAAAATCCACCATTCAGTTAAGACCATGAAAACAGCAGTTAATTAACATGGTGTTCCTCTAATACACAACATTCATCTCCAGATACGGTACAGAATCATCCTCAGATGTTTTCTTCATATCAGCAAAATATTGTACAGTTACAGTAAATATCTGATAACAAAGGCTATATGGAAATGTGAGAAAATTCATCCTAAGAATAGGGCTCCCTTTTCTACCTGGGAAATATCAGTGGTTTCAGCAAAAAGGAACTTTCTCCAAGATTACCTATGAGGGCAATTTAAAAAATCACTCTCCTTTAGAAAGCAAAGAGGGAACTGATGGTTGTAGTGATGAGGCATGAGCTCTAAAATACATCTTCCCAGAGACTGATCCACAGGTAAAGAAAGTAAAGGGGAACAGACTTCATCAGGATGGTGAGTGTATTAGGTTCATACTGCTGCTTTAACCAATTGCCACACATGGAATGGCTTAAAATGATACAAATGCATTATTATCATACAGTCCTGGAGGTTGGAAATCTGCAAAGGTTTTCACCACACTAAAATAAAGATGTTGCCAGAGCAGCTATCCCTCTGGGATTTCTAGGGAAGAATCTGTTTGTCTTTTCCAGGTTCTGGAGACAGCCTGTATTTCTTGGATCTTGGCTTCCTTCCACCTTCAAAGCCAAGAATGGCCAGTGTAGACTTTCTCATGCTGCTTCAATCTGACATTGAGTCCCTGCCTCCTTCTTCCACATCTACAGTACCCTTGCAATTACATTGGCCAAGTTACTGCAGCGTACTCTTAAATTCAGCTAATTAGAAATCTTAATGCTCCTTTGCCAGGTAATATAAAATGGTACATGTTCTGGAGAACAGGGCATGGACATCTTTAGGGGACCGTCACCTGCCAAACACAATGAAGGTAGTTTTCAAATGGACAGCAGTAACCACATCAACTTGGTGTTTAACCGCATTGCTCTGTCTGTCCCACGCAGGAAGCAGGGAAAAGAGGGGCTCAAGAGTAAAGGATGGATGTAGGGGTGAAAGGAGAGGCTTCAAAAGCAGCCATGGTGAGGGGAGGGGAGTTCATTCTCAGGATCCTGTCCTGAGAATGACTGCTGAAGTAGCAGGTGGTTATGGCAGGTGGCTGAGATCCAAGCTGGTTCGAATACCAGCCACATTTCTACACTGCCAAATGTCATGGATGGCAAGAGAAGACTTGACAGGGGACTGACGAGGAGCCAGGATCTTCCCTCCCTGGTACCATCAAAGAGGGAGGACTGTTACGACCTCCTGTGGGTCCTGACAGGGAAAGGCCCTCTTTTGGGGGTAACTGTGGGGATGGCATAATGCCAACGTGAGCCAACATTTGAAATGAGAAAAAGTGGTGTCGCATAAAGAAATGGGTCTGGTGCAGACCAGTGGTTGGTTTCCTAGGGTTAGAGGTCTAGCTGTGCCTTCTTTTACGCAAGGAGCAGTGGTGAGGGCTTGATGGGAGCCCCTTGCCCTGCAGTTCACTTAAGAGCAGGTGTACCTTCTCCTCTGAGTGACTCCATGAAGCAGGGAAAGAAACGCACAGGAGGACCACCTTAGAGCCATGGGCCTGTCTAGCCCGAAATCATCTCTCCCCTCCCAGACTACAGTGCTAACACCCTCTTTCCCATTAGCGTCCAGGAGGGAGGGTGAGAGGACTGGGGAGAGGGAGGGGGCAGACACCCAGCAGTTCTTGTCGGGGGAGGGTTGGGAGGGGGTGCAGACACACCAAGGGGCGGCTTGGTATCCATCCGCTGCTCCCTCCAGTGCGGCTCTTCCCGACCTCCCGATCCTGTCCCCCGCCCTGGTCCCCAGCCGCCCGCTGGTCCCACATATTGTAGCAGCGCCAGAAATATGGTGGTGGTCGCCACGTTTTAGGGTCTGCGAGGGCCTCCTGACGCAGCCTGGTGCCAACACGCACATCCAGGCTGGGGCTCATGGTGGCCCCGCCCACCTCTGGGTCGGAACTACGGAACTACGGTGGGCCTGGGAGGGGGCGTCGAGCGCTTTCGCGCCGTATCCCTCCGCCCCCCTTTCCCGACACCCTTGCGGCGAGCTGTTCTTGCCGCATCCTGCGCAGCCCCTGCCTACTTTGCTGCAGAGGCGTGGGGGGCGGGACGCCTCTTTGCCATTCGGAACGCGGGGAAAGCGGTGGGAATCCAAGTGAGGAGCCGCCAAAGGAGAGCTGAGGAGAGGAGGGGGAGGCTGACGACCTGGGCCCTGGGCCTCTGAAGGCAAGTGGGGGTGCGTGAGTAGGGGACCAGGGTGCGGGGGGTGGTCTGCCAGGGTGTCCCGGCTGGCAGCCTGCTCCGCGGACCCTGTCAGCCTGGCAACGAGGAGACGATCCGGTCGGAGCCAGGCGCTGGAGAGAGGTGCGCAATGCCGGAGACCCCTGGCGATGAGGAGGCGGTGACTGGTGCGGGCCAGGCCGGGCTGGGCCAAGGGCTGAGGGGCTGACTCGGGAAGCACCGTCAGATCCTCCGGAGTCGGATCCTCCGGAGGAGAACCGCGCTGACCGCTTCCCAGCCAGCTTTGCAGGCGCCCGCGCCCCGCCCTCGACGGTGTCTGTGCCCAGAGAGGGCTGGGGGTAGGCTCCTGGAGGAGAAATGGCGGAGCGGGAGCCCTTGTGGGGTTCGCCCAGGGAGGCCATTGGGGGGCATCCCAGCTCTGTGCCCAGCCCGCGGGAGGTGGGCCACGTTCCCTACTCCGGACCCTGATTCCGGAAAGGGACCTGTGGGGCCCCTGTCCTGGGTGCCGTCCCACAGGCTCCAGGTTGATGTCAAAGTCTTCTGTCTGCGCGGTAGGTCTTGCGCATTCTGACAGGCCACACTGAGCATCTGTAGAGGAGAGGCTTGAGATAAAGCAGGAGGAGAAATACAGCCTGGATTTCCAGAGTTGTGTGGGGGTGGGGGGTGGGTGCCAAACATTTAATGGGGACCAGAATCGGGGTGGGGGACTGCGACCAGCAGGTCAGGCATCCAGGAGCACCTCCTAATCTTTCCTTCTCTTAAAGGCCTTCCAGGCGCTTCCCCCACCTTCCATCCCCACCTGCCTCCTCCACCGTCCTAATCTGGGGGCATGAAAGGGTGGGCTTTGGAGGTGGGGGTGATGAGGGAGACATATTGACAAGTACCAATTCACAACCTGTTTTCTAGAATATGCGGCGCCCTTCCCCCATTTTATGCTGCGCAGAGCCCAGGGGATGTGGCGCACCTAGTGGTGAATCCTCAGAATTGGAGAAGGGAGTAATGGGAAGAGTATGACGTCAAGAGAAGGAGTTGTTATCTCTGGAACCTTGAAGTAGGGCCTAAAAGAAACGAGAATATTCCACCAGCAAAACCCCGAATGTTGAAAGACAGATATTAATAATATGAGGACTCTTATCCTTGGTGTTGGTCTGCCACCCCTCATTTCCTGACTGTCTTACCTTTTCATCTGTTTGTCCATAGGCCTGCTTCAAGGCTGGTCAGTTCTGCAAGAAAGGCAAGAGAGAGGAGTCTGGCTCACACCTCTGGAGGTTGGTGAAGAGGGGGAGGGAGCAATGCAGGGGACAATTGGAGAGAGTGAGCATGGCAGGTGGCTTTGAGCCCAGTGGGTGCAGACCTACTTCTACTCTGCTGGGTTTGCACAATGCCAGCATCCTTTTTATTTGTTGCAGGAGACAGGAGATAGATGTAGGCTGGGTTGTGACTCAGAAAAGACCTGAGAGCAGGGACCAGGAGACAGGAAACAATAGACACATTGAACCCTTGAATGGGAAGAGAGAGATTTGTCACAGGGACCAGAGTACCTGCCTATCTACCAAGTACTCAGACCCCATTCTCTCCTGTATGTTTACTTGTCTGTAGGACCCCCTTCTGTCAGCTGTGGGGCTTGACACCACTTGCACAAGAAAAGGAGGGGGAAACTGCACCACATCGGTGAAGGTTGGTATGAAAGCGGGTATACTTTTGGGTTGGGTAGTGGAGACCAGCATGGGTTTGGGAGTGATTAGGGTCCAATCTAGGGGCTTCTCAGCCCCTCCCATTGCCAACACACGTTCCCACCATTGCTGGAGCTGTTTTGTAGCAGGTAGCCAGCCAGAGAGACTTTCTGAAAGCCCAGCTGTCCCACCTAGCATTCAACATCAGTCTCACTGTGTACGTCTCTGCATGGGGTGACACGACTGGAAGAGACTCAAAGCCCCATTTCATTCTCTCTCTCTAGATCCACCTCCAGTGGCTGCTCTGCTGGTGGTGGAGTTGCTGCTGACAACCACCCTCAACAGGTCTGCACCCATCCAGGAAATATCTGTCTTCCTCAAGCTTGGTTCTACATTCTATTTGTATTACTGAGTTATTGACTGAGACTTTGTTTTGGAAGGCGGCTGATTGACTACTGGTCTGGATATTGACTCTAACACTTGTTTCCAAGCTCATATCCTCAATCACTTAAAGATCAGTGTGTAGAAACAAACCAGTGACAGATCTGTGGTTGAGGTTTAGACTGGGGGTGGAGTATATTACTGGACTTTCTTCATAACTTGTACCATGACTGGGGCAGAGATTGAGTCTGCTGCCCAGGTCAAGCCTGAAAAGAAGCCTGGGGAAGAGGTTGTAGGTGGGGCTGAGAGAGAGAATGAAGTCCCTCTGGTGGTCAGACCCAAGGTTAGGACCCAGGCAACTACTGGGGCAAAGCCCAAAACTGAGACCAAGTCTGTTCCGAGGGCAAGGCCCAAAACTGAGACCAAGTCTGTGCCAGGGGCAAGGCCCAAAACTGAAAACAAGTCTGTGCGGGGGGCAAGGTCTAAAACTGAGAACAAGTCTGTGCCGGGTGCAAGGCCCAAAACTGAGGCCCAAGCAATGTCTGGGGCAGGGCCCAAAACTGACCCCCAAGTAATGGGTGGAGCAAGACCCAAAACTGAGGCTCAGGGAACGGCAGGGGCCAGGCCCAAAACCAATGCCAGGGCAGTAGGTGGTGCTCGTCCCAAAACTGATGCCAAGGCAATCACTGGGGCAAGGACCAAGGATGAAGCCCAGTCATGGGGCCAAACTGAATTTGGGACTGAGGTAGTGTCACAGGCAGAAGGGGTGTCCCAGACTAATGCCGTTGCCTGGCCACCGGCCACTCCTGAGTCTGGATCGGTTACTAAATCTAAGGGCCTATCTATGGATAGAGAACTAGTCAACGTGGATGCTGAAACCTTTCCTGGCACCCAAGGTCAGAAAGGAATCCAGCCCTGGTTTGGACCAGAGGAGGAGACTAATATGGGGTCTTGGTGTTATTCCAGGCCCAGGGCCAGAGAGAAGGCCTCTGAGTCTGGGTTCTGCTCAGCAGATGAGACCTCTACAATGTCTTCTTTCTGGGCAGGAGAAGAGACCAGTATCAGATCATGGCCCAGGGAAGAGTCCAATACCAGATCCAGGCACAGGGCTAAACATCAGACTAACCCCAGGTCCGGGCCCAGACCCCAGCAAGAAGCCTATGTTGAGTTCTGGTCTGGGTCTGAGGAGGAGGCTGGCAACCCATTCTCCTGGGCTGGAGAAAATACCAATAACTTGTTCGGGCCCAGAGTCAAGGAAGAGGCAAATATTAGGTCCAAGCCCAGGACAAAGAGAGAAGATTGTTTTGAATCTGAGTCTGAAGATGAGTTTTATGAGAAGTCCTTCTCCTTGCCTAGAGAAGAGGCCAATAGTAGATTCAAGCGCAGAGACAAAGAAGATCCTAATACCAACTTGAAATCCAGGGCCCAGAAAGATGTTAACGGTGATAGAGTCAAACAGGAACCCAGGTTTGAGGAGGAAGTCATTATTGGGTCCTGGTTCTGGGCAGAAAATGAGGCCAGTTTGGAGGGTAGAGCCTCAGCAATCTGTGAATCTGAGCCAGGAACTGAGGAGGGGGCCGTTGGTGGATCCTTGTACTGGTCTGAGGAACAGTCCCGTTTGGGGGCTGTGGCCAGACAGGAGGCCAAGCCAGAGTCTGAAGAAGATGCCATATTTGGGTCCTGGTTCTGGGACAGAGATGAGGCCTGCTTTGACCTAAATCCTTGTCCTGTGTACAAGGTCAGTGACAGGTTCAGAGATACAGCTGAAGAGGAGCTTAATGCATCCTCCAGACCCCAAACCTGGGAAGAGGTCACTGTTGAATTCAAACCTGGTCTTTTTCATGGGGTTGGCTTCCCATCCACAAGCCCCTTTAGATTTACTGAAGATGCTTCTGAAATGTTTGAGGCAAAGCCCAAGAACCTGGAACTTAGCCCGGAAGGGGAAGAGCAGGAATCTTTGCTTCAGCCTGATCAGCCTAGCCCTGAGTTCACATTTCAGTATGATCCTTCCTACCGGTCAGTCCGGGAAATTCGAGAGCATCTTAGGGCCAAGGAGAGTGCAGAGCCTGAGAATTGGTCCTGCAGCTGCATACAATGTGAGCTAAAAATTGGTCCTGAAGAGTTTGAAGAACTCCTTATATTAATGGACAAAATTCGGGATCCTTTTATTCAAGAAATATCTAAAATTGCAATGGGTATGAGAAGTGCTTCTCAATTTACCCGAGATTTCATTCGAGATTCAGGTGTTGTCTCACTTATTGAAACCTTGCTTAATTATCCGTCCTCTAGAGTTAGGACAAGTTTTTTGGAAAATATGATTCACATGGCTCCACCTTATCCAAATCTAAACATGATTGAGACATTCATATGTCAAGTGTGTGAGGAAACCCTTGCTCATAGTGTGGATTCCCTTGAGCAGCTGACTGGAATAAGGATGCTTAGACACCTCACTATGACTATTGATTATCACACACTGATTGCCAACTATATGTCCGGATTTCTCTCCTTATTAACCACAGCCAATGCAACAACAAAGTTTCACGTTCTGAAAATGCTATTGAATTTGTCTGAAAATCCTGCCGTGGCAAAACATCTATTCAGTGCCAAAGCTCTTTCAATATTTGTGGGTCTCTTTAACATAGAAGAGACAAATGATAATATTCAAATTGTTATTAAAATGTTTCAGAACATCAGTAACATTATAAAAAGTGGAAAGATGTCCTTAATTGATGATGATTTCAGTCTTGAGCCGCTTATTTCTGCATTTCGTGAATTTGAGGAGTTAGCTAAGCAACTACAGGCCCAAATAGACAATCAAAATGATCCTGAGGTGGGACAACAAAGTTAATAAGATTAACCACCTGCCGCTGGTCAGCCTTATGTTCCCAAAGAGCCCTGAGTAGTGCTTTGGTGTTCACAGTCTGGTTTTTTGTTGTAACTTATATTCTTTATTGCTGATGTTAACTTTGTCAGACTCTTGTTTTGAGCTAGATCATTTTGTGGATGCCAAATGAATATCAAAAGTGAAAACACATTTGTTGATATTTGTCTTGCTGTCCAGATTGTGATATTTTTCAGTATTAAGCTTTCAGTGAACTGTGTCACCTGAGTAAGCTGCCCTGCTATTCACTGTTTAAATATATCGTTCTCTATTTGAATCTGTGTTTTCAATAAAGTTCTATGTTCAAATTGGCATAAGTGACACTTCTTCAGTTTAAGAACCATGTACAGATACAGTGTGTGCACTTATAAACTTAGGTAATTATTAGTATGACAAACATGCACTCATTAGAAAATTCTGTTCTTTGAGCTTAAGAAGGGAGAGATTATTGTGGGCTGTGATACTTGAGGAATGCTTCTGCGATGAGAGACCCACTTAAATTGGTCAGGATAGAATAAATTGGTCAGGACAGGAGGACAAGACAAGTTGCCCACCTACTTCCCCAATTATGAGCCTTCCAAACAAGCAACCTAAAATTAGTACTTCTTATAGGCCTCATTTAAATTACCATCTTAGCCCTGGGACTTGCCTAAGAGTAGGATAAGACAAGTCATTAGGTTGTTCTTGAAAGTGGGCAGCAGTGGTTTGAAAAAAAGTGTGTAACTGAGTAATCTGTTCTGGTAGCATGGATGAACACTGCCTGAAACAAGTAAAAGGAGTTTGATGAGAAATGCAGTTAGAAAGTTAGGAAGAGACCAGTTTGGGGAACAGAATAAGCCAAATCTGCATATTTAACAATTCAAAGTACAGGTGTTACTTCAATGCCACCTAAAGGCTGAAAGAGTAGGATAGCACAATTAAATGGAGTGGGGAATAGGATTTCCTTTATATTCCTAGACAAAGGAAAGTGTTAAGGAAATACCACGCAGCCATTCAAATGATTATACTATATGGATAGGTTTATTGACACAAAATGACAATTATTTTATATTTGGTAAATAGAGAAGAATGTGACCTCATGTATGGAAAATTAGATTCCAAATTTGAAACATCTGTAAATCTACACAATTCCTATGCAATTTCAATATGAATTTCTAAACACTTCATACATTCCATAGTCTGGAATACAATGTATACTATGTTAAAAAATGCTCAGAGACAGGCATTAGGGAGATACAAACATTAATAAGACAAAAAAATTAATACACTTTTGTGCCTTGAGTTATAGATGAGCATGCTAGAAAGGACACAGTTATATAAATTAATAAACTATAAGTGTTAAGAATGGTTAGAGATAATATTTAGAAAAGTTGTAAATGAATGAGCTGTCAGAAAGACTAGCTTGTTATAAAATGTTTTCAAGACAAAAATTAAAATTGGCCAGGCACAGTGGCTCACACCTGTAATCCCAGTCCTTTGGGAGGCCAAAGCGGGAGGATTGCTTGAGCTCAGGAATTCAAGGCCAGCCTGGGCAACATGGTGAAGCCTCGTCTCTACTAAAAATACAAAAAATTAGCCCAGCATGGTGGCACATGCTTGTAGTCCTAACTATTCAGAAGGCTGAGGTGGGAAAATTGCTTGAGCCTGGAAAGTTGAGGCTGCAGTGAGTCATGATCACAACACTGCACTCCAACCTGGGTGATGGCAGTGAGCCCCTGTCTCAAAAAACTAAACAAAATTAAAATTACCAAGGGTGGGCCAGGCGCGGTGGCTCACGCCTATAATCCCAGCACTTTGGGAGGCCAAGGTGGGTGGATCACTTGAGGTCAGGAGTTCGAGACCAACCTGGCCAACATAGCGAAATGCCGTCTCTACTAAAAATACAAACACTTAGCCAGTCATGATGGTGCACGCCTGTAATCCCAGCTACTGGGGAGACTGAGGCAGGAGAATCACTTGAACCCAGGAGGCAGAGGTTGCAGTGAGCTGAGATCACACCACTGAACT